CACTTGTAGCCATTAAATCTACTTTGCCCTTCTTATTCTACCTCATTTTTTATTTTACTTTACACAGGTTGCAGAGAAATTTTTTTAGAATACCCTAAATTCTTTCTGGATATGCTTATAAAGCTGAGACTACTGCAGAAAACCAGAGATTTAAAGATGCTCTCTTCCTAGGGCATTCTACCACACCAAAACAATAAACATTTGTCCCTGCAAATTCTGTCCTGAAATGTCTTCCCTTCTCACTGCAACTAATCAATATGCTGTTCTTCCTTCAACATTGGAATCAGTTAGGGTCCAGAGCAGAGCTGTCAAAAAGAACTTTCTGCAACGATGGGGATATTCTTCATCTGCACTCCCCAAACCATAGCCACTAGCTACCTGTGGCTTCCAAGCACTTGAAATGTGGCTAGTGTGACCGAGGAATTAAATCATAACCCAACTTAATAAGAAGCCTTTTTTTTTTTTTTTTTTTTTGCAGTACGCGGGCCTCTCACTGCTGTGGCCTCTCCCGTTGCAGAGCACAGGCTCCGGACGCGCAGGCTCAGCGGCCATGGCTCACGGGCCCAGCCCCTCCGCGGCATGTGGGATCTTCCCAGACCGGGGCACGAACCCGCGTCCCCTGCATCGGCAGGCGGGCTCTCAACCACTGCGCCACCAGGGAAGCCCGAAGCCATTTTTATTCACTTTAATTTTAAGTAAGTTAAATGACCACAAGTGGCTAGTGGCTACCATATTGGACAGCACAGCTCTACGGAAGGAAATGGAAGAATGGAACCCATTTTTGATCCTTTGATTATGGCAGCCAGAGGGATCCTGAGACTCAAAGGTGACAGAAGAAGGTGCCAGGTCCTTTTTTTCACAACCCCTTCCCCCAAGTGACAGAGAAGAAGGAACACAGTGCTCTTACCTTCTCTCCTCAGATAGAGGAGCTTGGGCCGGCGGACAGAAGGACTCATGTGGTCATTGGCTGAGGCTGTGTCTACCCGGGCCCAGTGACTCAAGCCGGAACTCTGGATGTGAAATGGAATTTTGGAGGCATGGATTTCAGAGCTCACACACAGTTACCCTGCCCACACTATGCTTTGTGCAGCTCACCCTGGGGGCGCTTACCTGCTGGAGGATTGGAAACTTCAAAGGAGGTGGTAACCACTGAAACAGGTAATGGATCATAAGGAAGTAAAGTCTAGATAGGTTATCCAATCAAGAAAATAACCAGACCTAGGGTTTCAAAAGAGCAAAGAAAAATAATATTACCAATTTTGAGTTACTTCTTAGAGCAGAGAATATCTAGCTCTACTGCACCGTTATGAAATTAATTTGAAGCTGAGAATCCGCAATATATTACAGCTATCAGTCTCTCTGGATGGTTTTACAATCAACATGTAAGATATGAAAAAAGAAAGATGCCAATAACATATTAATGTGGTATTCGGTGTTCAATCTTCCTTATGCAGCAGAATATTACAGCTGAGCAAACAATGATCAAAAAGTTGGTTCTCTTTTATACAAACAGAAGAAGGAAACTTGAACTTTAACTTATCCCACCTGTCATTTTCCATTGATTGAGTCTTCCTCATTAAGATAAATTCCGAGCTAGAATATCATTTTTATCTTTGGAGCTCTCCAGAAAGTATGCCCTTCAGCTACCTTGGTTTCTCTTTTATTTTCTTTCCTTATTTTTTTTCTTTTTTTTTTCTATATTGGCAGCTTCCAAGGAAGTATAGAACACTCTATCCCACTGTGTGTATCCCAAATTTCTTATCTGAGTTATTCTGGAAATATATGTACCTGTAGCTTAACAGCTGACACCCACTTGCAGATATACCCAAGCAAAGTCAGATGTCCCCTTTGTCTCTTTTGCATGCCATGTTGGCATAAGAAGGATGTGAGACTTCTCTTGGACAGAAGAGAAACCAAACTCAGCTCTACCGTAAACGAGCTGTGGGATCCTAGGGGTGTTCTTTACCCTGATTCTCAGCTTCCTCTTCTGTCGAAAGGGAGACATTAATGAAGAGGACAGGATGGCTAAGTGAGTCCGCTTTATGCCTTCTGGCTGGTTCTAACTCACTTCTTCTGACTTAGTTCCCTTCTCTCCCAGCATGCCGTGGCTCTGCTCAGTGACTTATTTCAACCCTCTCCAACAGCTAAAGCTGATGTGGTGCGGATATCCTTGCTAACTGGCAGATAGCAGGTGCTCACTCGGCCTGAGTTCATCCCTCCCTCCCCTCTGTTCTCAGCAAAGCAGCTAGAGCTGCATGTGCATCAGAGGCCCCTCGTTCTTCCCCCTGCCCTTCGTTGCCAGGGGTAAAATGAAGGGACGAAGCAGGAAGCACTCATGATGAAAACATGCTTACGAAGACAACGCAGGTCCAAATGGACCCTGTGAAAAAGTGGAAGGGCAGAAGTTTCTGTTCAGTTGCCTTCCCCCACTCCTCCCCCCACACCCCTGGGGATCCACCTACTTCCCTACTGTCCCTACTTGTGGGATCAGCACCCTCCTTTTCCCCTCTCTTGCCCTCCCCAAACCCACCTTCAGACCCTTCATTCACACTACAGTGTGGGCGAATGAGAACCCTCCTTGTTCCACATACATTTGCACGTGGATCAGAATCTCCAGTTAAGATGGATTGTTCTCAGGAGGGAGATGCAAGAGGGAGGAGATATGGGGATATATGTATATGCATAGCTGATTCACTCTGTTATAAAGCAGAAACTAACACACCATTGTAAAGCGATTATACTCCAATAAAGATGTTTAAAAAAATGGATTGTTCTCTGAGTACAAAATCTCGGGCATCAAGCCGTGGGAGAATATTCTCCATTTCAAAGGCCTTTTCTGGAGTTCTGGAAATAAGGCCGTGTAATTACATGCCCACAGGGGCGAGCCAACACCACAATGCCTTCTTGAACCACAGGCAGGGCCAACTATTTTCCCAGCAGAGATTGCCCAAGCAATGACCCATGAAAGGAATCCTCCTAGGTCCCCATCAGTTTGAACAAGAGGGGACAGCAGAGAGCGGGTGGCCAGAGCTTCCGGAGCAGAGTAAGTGTGGTTGGATAAAATGCTGCAGTTTGGAGACAGGCTTGTGAGGAGGCAGGTTGCAGATGGGGGCGAGGTTGATGCCAAGAGAACAAACAGGACGGGGTGGGGGCAGAGGAGGGGAAGAGGTCTAGGCTTGAATAGACACCATTGTGGCTGGAGACAGAGAATGATGAAGGTATCAGAATCTCCAGATAAAGTCTCTAGGGAGGAAACAAAGGATTCTTCAAGAGCCTAGAGCAGCTCTTCCTAACCTTTTGTGGGTTCTGAAAGGACCCAGGTTTGAAAATATGATGAAATCCAAAGGCCTCCTCTGGAGAAAAGTCAACACATAGATTTTTTTAAATTAATTAATTTATTTTTGGCTGCATTGGGTCTTCGTTGCTGCACGCAGGCTTTCTCTAGTTGCATCAAGCAGGGGCTACCCTTCATTGTGGTGCACAGGCTTCACATTGTGGTGGCTTCTCTTGTTGGGGAGCACGGGCTCTAGGCGCGCGGGCTTCAGGTGTTGTGGCACGCGGGCTCAGTAGTTGTGGCACACGGGCTTAGTTGCTCCACGGCATGTGGGATCTTCCTAGGCCAGGGATCGAACCCATGTCCTCTGCATTGGCAGGCGGATTCTTAACCACTGCGCCACCAGGGAAGTCCTCAACACATAGATTTTACAATCAAACTCAAGAAGTGTTCAGCTTCCTGTCCAAACCCATGCGTGGACTCCAGGTCCAAAATTAATCTAGGTGCTTAGAAACAGTAAAAGCAAGGCTACCTGGTCACTCAGGTTTCTTATCCTCTTGGATGTGTAGACCTGGGCTGCCCACTCACTCAGGAAGGGGCACCCTGGCCTGTCTTCAGAGGTACTCGCATTTCTATTGGTTCTAAACAATCCCAAAGCAGCCCTGGACTCTGGAGTTTATTAAGGAGTCACATATAAGATTTGGGGGTTCCCCTGCTACTCTCTACCACCATCTACTCGCTAACATATTGAGATATTCCTAAGTGCCAAAGACTTTGCCTTTCTTACCTAAATATGGCCTCAAAGCAAGGAACAGTTACTCTTATCGTCCTCATTTTGTAAATAACAAAACTGAGGTGAAATCACTTGCCCAGGTTCACAGAGCCGGCCAGTTATAGGATGGGCAACCATCCAGCACACTCTGAACCTGAAGTCTGGGTAGTCAGTGTTACCCACGCTGATGACCAGACCCAGCTCAGGCTTCAGAGCTTTTAGAATAACATTTAAACATTGTTCTAGGGAGGAACGTTGTTCAGAAGGTCAGTTTTGAGTCTTTGCTTTTCTGATGAAGAGTGAAGATTCCAGTCATTGGGATACGTGCCCAATATTGGTTAAGCAGGTGAGACAGCCACCTGGGGCGGGGGGAGTGGGACCTGCGATGCTCACTTTCTCTACAGCCTCAGTTCACATGCTGCTTCTTTAAACACTTGACACACACCTCCCCCCACCCCATAACCACACAGGTTATCCTGCTCCAGAACTCCTTACAACCTGTGGAACTCTGTAGATATAAGTTGTTTTCTTCCCTTTTATTATGTTCTCTTAGCTTTTAGTTGATAAAATGTATCTGTTAAAAGAGGGAATATTTCTTAGGAAAAAAAGCAGAGCCTCTAGTGGTGCGGGCAGCTTCCTCCCCACTTGACGATGGAGGTTTGGCTCTCTCACGTGATTATAGGAAAAGGTAGCTTTGAGACATGGGTTCCATACCTGCTGTGGTAGTTAGCCTGTAAAAAACATCAGTTTCCTTAAATAATGTTTTAAAACGTCACGTTTGTTAACTTACTTTTTGAACAACCATATGGAACATAAAATAGATATGATCACAAAGAGCAGGCATTTTAGAGAATAATGAAGTCAGACACGCATCACATAAATAACAGATTCCTGTGGGTTAATTTAACTTGTCTTTATAGCAAAAATACAGCTACCTTTCTTGCTGTTTAATCTGCTGTCATCTTAGATGTCCAGGGCTTTTCACCAGCTTGATAAATAAATTGGATCAAAGCTTCCTATAAGAAAATGAAAAATAATTAAAAATGATGTTTCTCTCCATTTTTTCTTTGAATTTAAAATTCAGTTTATGTTAGAGAAGGCTACATACGTATACAAGAAAACTCTATTCTCCTAGAACACTTCCTGCTTTGGGTTTTATTCAAAACATAGTTTTCCGCTGATTATTGTTTCCCTTTTGGTCAGCCTCGTCATTACTGCCACAGAAAGTCCTCACTCACTTACTACAAAGTTACCAAGTGGTTCTTTTCTCCTATCCTAGAACATTGTTATTTTCCTTATTCCAGTTAATAGAAGGTGTACTTTCCACCACAGGTGGCAGGCAGAGCTCCTGATAAAATGCGCGGGTGGGGCTTCCCTGGTGGCGCAGTAGTTGAGAGTCCACCTGCCGATGCAGTGGACACGGGTTCGTGCCCCGGTCCAGGCAGATCCCACATGCCGCGGAGCGGCTGGGCCCGTGAGCCATGGCCGCTGAGCCTGCGCGTCCGGAGCCTGTGCTCCACAATGGGAGAGGCCACAGCAGAGAGGGGCGCGTACCGCAAAAAAAAAAAAAAAAAAAAAAAGCGCGGGTGCACAACGAATACAGGCAAAATAAATAAGGAAAATCCAGTGCCTGTATCTTCTGTTTGCTGTATGCCTTGGGTTTCTGCTTCACACGCAGGTTTGTCATTTTACTGGTGCCCCCTCTCACTCTCCTAATTTAAAAAAAAAATGATGTTTTTCTTAACTCCCCTGCAAAGGCATGGCATTATGGCTGATATCCATGAAATATTCAGTGTGCTGGGTCTTGCTCGATTTCCCATATTAAAGCACATTTGGAAAAGATTTTTATTTACTTCTTACAGCTACCTGGATTAATGAGAGTGTCCAGCCAACCACTGTCTGATATTTTGGCTCTAAGTTATTCTTTTTCCAGGAGGAAAATACATTTTAATTAACATGATTTCTCCACATGCTTCTGAAGGGTATGGTGGTCTCACAATGACACACTCTGCTATGTGTAAAGCACTTACCTGTACAAGGTGGTTGCTTCCTGCAAAACGGCACAGTCCTCAGGAGGAGGTGGGAGATGCGCAAGAGAAATGGAAGAGAAAAGGGGAAGCGGAGAAGGAGAAGGAGAGGAGGGAGGAAGAGGAGGGCGAGGAGGGGTGCAGGATCAAAGAGTGGAGAAAAGCCCTGGTATTGAAGTTAGAATGGACTGAGTTGAAATGCAAAAGCAAATGAGTCATTAATTACCCACAAGAGATGGCCAATCAGAAGGTGCTGAGTCATCTTAAAGGAGCAAGGTTTAGTAATTTCCTCCATCAGTGGAAATGGGGGCTCACAAGCAGGTTGACATCTGTTACAGAGACATAAAGAAAGTTACATTTCTGCACAGATGAGTTGCATGAAATCACAAATCTGCTTGAAGGGGCCAACTCCCCCAAAATTTCCAAGTGGCATCAAAATGCTTCCATGTCCTAAGTTCCTCTTAATCGATAGCTGAACTCCAGGGAATGGTAATTTCACAATACATTATCAGCTATGACATGAAAGGAAGTGCTCCGCAATCAAATAAATGTAGGAAAAGCTGAGTTAAATAAAATAAATAGGTACTTGTAATGGCAAGGCTTCTTAGAGCATTTAGTGCTGACGGGCATTGCACACATCTCCCATGGAGGGATACAGCACATTATACTTTCCCAAATATACTTGTCAGGGAGTGTGTTGTTAACAAATGACTATTAATATCTCACTGACCTTGTATTCCCTTGAGGAAGTTTGGGAACTATGGCTTAATAATTTAAGGTGCTTTCCCAGGTATCTAAGCCTAGGATACAGAAAAGATGGGGGTCCCTAAAGGATGGGCAGAGGAACACCAAACACAAGCTTGCCTTTCTTCTTAAGCTTGCCTTGACTGGCCTTGGACTGGTCATGGTAAGAACCCACTTCCTGGTTTCTCTGAGGGTAGTGGATCAACCTCTGGGCTGGACATAAGTAATACCTCCTTAGCTGGTCTAGCAATAACCACGGCTTATGCTGACTCTAGTCCAATACTTCTAGAATGAATTCAGAGGGCAAACAGCTGGGTCCTCCAAACCACCAGGAGACCCCAGTAATTTACATGATGCCTGAAGACTGCAGCCTGAATTTGTCATAGCTCCTAGGCATTTCACCAATAATTGATGACTGGTGGGACTGGAGGAAGGGGTAAAAACAGAGCCAATAGAAATGACAAAGAAAGGATTTGTCGATTCTGCAGTAAAGGGACATGACTGTTGGGATATTTTATTTTATTTTTCCCATAAGAATGATGGCCAGCTTCAAGAATTTCAACAGAGTTCTAGATGTTGGCTGAGAGATCGAAAGCAGAAGAATCCTGCCATTTCACACTTCCATGACCTTAAATCACCCACATATTATCCGGAAAGTGACATTTACTCCAAAGCCCTTTTATTGTGCCTTTCCATGAGTGTGGAATGTCATGCTTTCCTGGAACAACTAAGTTTCTGTCAAAATGCCAAAAGATGGGAAGGTTGGTAATGGGAGTGTTGGGTTAGTGAAATGTACTCTTTCTGTCCTACTTCTGAAGCTCTCTGATGTTTCCCATGTAATTGTCTTTGACATTTAATTGAAAGCACCATGTTTTTTACTAAGCAAGCCATTTGAGCCCTTGGTGGTCACTTAAGACCTACCTCACTGCCGCCTGGCACTCATCCGAAGCCAAGATTATGTAGTAAATGCATGGTTCAGCTCCGTCTGCTGCAGTCGTATATTGATCTTGTGGTTCTTGGGGGAAGTGGTGTCTCATTCAGATTTTCAAGTTCTGTCTTATAACGAAGGTCCTTTGGCTTCCCATGGTTTCATAGCTGTGAAATCAATTACGACTTCAGTAGCACTGACAGTGTACTATATTTGTGAAAAGAAAATTGAAAAATTACTACTTGATGGATGAGAAATAGTTTTGACATTTAAAAACAGAAAATGCTTCTCCATATCTCTTATAAATGATGTCTGATGTTGACATTAGCATTTATGTAATTCATCCAATTGTAGGAACCATCGTGTACTAATCCTTAATAGCAGTAAGACCTATTACAATGGGGAATAATATTCCTTCAAAAGGCTTCATTCTAGCCTTCTTCTTCTAGGCCCATCACATCAACTCCGTAATAATTAACTTGTTTTGCTGTAATTCTGCTTCAGCAGAGACATAATGCTGCCGAGGAAGACATAATGAGGCACCTCGAATGAAAGCTGAAGCGGATGGAGCAACAGGCCTTTGTCCAAAGGTTTGCACTCACTCAGGAAAGCCTTCATGGGCAAGATTAGAGATTGAAACGCATCAACTTTTTAATTTTTTTTGTAACGAGGGCCAAATTTTCTCTTAATTATCCAAAGGCAATTTTGATAAAGAGATCAACAAAGTGTAGGGCTTAGGTTTAGGGTAATCTTAACAGAAAATTATAATCTGCCTACTTGTGATGGGACTAGAGGAAAATGTCATTCTACCTCAGTTCTCCATTTCCCCACAGCAGTTGGCGGTTGGAAGGCTGAAAAGAAAGGGGTTCAACATATCTATAGGTGGAAGTGAGTGGATGTGGGTGTTACCTGCTAGGGTTCTTGGCCTCCTTAATCAACAGGAATTGATCAGAGGCCAGACGAGAAATTCAGGCTGCAGCAGGCAGGAGAGAGAACAACAGGTTTCCTTGCTTGCTTGCTCCCCAGTGGGGTGCGAGCTGCTTCTATAGGGTGAGGGTAGGAGTATGTCCAGGGGTCGGGCTGGAGGGGCGGCTTAAGCGGTCTGCCCACCCCTTTGGTGGTGTCGTGTGCAGGAATCATGCAGAGTGCCCTGCTTTTCCTCCCAACCTCCTGCTTTTGCTCCCAGCTCTTCAGAAGTGGCACTCTGGCTTTTTGATTTCTTTGTATCTTGTTGTCCAGAATTTGCCCCGACTAGGCATGCACACAGTTATTTTTAGTCCCTTATAAGTTTCTTTGCATTTTGTTGCTGGAGGAGATGTTTGTCCAGGTGCAAGCACTGCAGCAAAAAGTCCCAGGTCCCAGCCTGTCTCATTTAGGAGCTCTCTCTCCAGGGAAAAGACCTGGGCGGCAAGACTATATCCCATCAGGTCAACCAGAAGTCAGAGAGGGGTCCCTGCTTGCCGAGCTCCCCGGTACGTGTCTGCACCAGGGGAACACAGCCGCAGCTCCGGAGACAGAGCTCTGTGGGTTGTTGCCAAGGTGTCCTCTTTTGCTCTGGGTAGTAGATTGACGAGGGACACCTTGCCAAGCTGAAAACAGGGAGATGAGCATTCTAGGAGATGGGAGTAGCACATGCAAAGGAAAGTAACTGTGAAAATGCATGTTCTGGAAATACTAAGAGAAGCTCAGGGAGACGAAGAGTATGGGACCATATTTTAAAGAGCTTCCTATGCCACACAGTTTGCACGTGATTTTGGAGAAAGACAAGTGCTAGGGCAGAGGACAGTCTATACGTGGGGAAAGGTCGCCAAGATGTCCTTCTTCCTCTTCTCTCCCTGGGATCCCAATTCATCAGTACAGATTAGCTCCAACACCGCCACCACACAACCTCTGTGAGACTCTCCAAGCAATCGCACCACTACACACACACTCACAGAGACACACACACCCCACAGATAATACTTCCTCCTCAGTGCTCCCATTTCACCTCGTAATTGCTTTTATCCTGGCACCTACCAGGATTTAGTGAATGAGCTCATATATCGTGTTTGCTTTCTCAACTAGAACATGCCATCTGCTCAAGAGCAGAAAATGGGGTTTTTCTGGTTGGTTGGTTTGTTTAAGCACCATCATTCCAGAGACTGGATGGACCCACTTCTCCTTGAACGCTGCTTCCTCAGGCCGACTTCTGTTCGCCCCAGCAGGAGAGAAACTCTCCTTCTCTGAGCCCCTGTCTCTGGCAGGAATCCCCTAAAGGACAGCCCGAGGCAAGGATCTGGTGCCTCCTGATGGACTGGGAGGGGGTGGGAGGGAGGGCAGGAAGTCACAGGGGTGGGATCTCAGGGCAGGTCCACCAAGGAGGGTGGCTCAGTTACATCCCAAGGGGACTCCTGACAGCTGGTCTTTCCCGGGTGGGAGGGGGGTGGGTGAGGGAAGTAAAATCCATGCACGTTCAGATTCCTGGGTGTGCATTTGGAGAGATGGATGGAACAGGGACTTCCCTGGTGGCGGAGTGGATAAGACTCCTCGCTCCCGATGCAAGGGGCCCAGGTTCGATCCCTTGTCAGGGAACTGGATCCCACGTGCATGCTGCAACTAAGAGTTCACGTGCCACAACTAAGGAGCCCACCTGCTGCAACTGAGGAGCCCACGTGCTGCAACTAAGACCCAGCACAACCAAATAAATGAATAAGACAAGGGAACCTATAAGCAAGAATAGAGGACACCTACACGTACTAAAAGACATTTAAAAAATGGGTGGGACAAGGCTACTCTCTGCTGAAGCTCTCTCTACAAGTACCACAGAAAATGTGTTTTATCCATCTCTGTACATGGCCTGGCACATAGTAGGAATTCAATATATGTTTGTTGGATGGAAGAAATTGCTATTCTGGCTGAGAGTCTGATTCCGCTCCTGTAAAGGTGCGATGTTAACATTTTTCTCCTTAACACTTTGGGAGGATATCAGACACGCTGCTTACAACCATTGATTTCTAGTCAGTTGAGATTTGTGCAAAGCCAACTAAGGAGGAGCTATGTTTATTATTTGTTTGCAGCACATTAAAGCGAATGCTTTGGTATTCAAAATCCACTGTACTTCTGCCTCATTTATTTCTAAAAGAGAAGTCAGGAGATATTTTTTCCCCTTTAAGTAATGGACGTGGGAAGCCAACAAAACTACATTTAAAAACACACGCATTCACTTTTCATTTGTCTGAGATAAAGTTAGATATTTCTCTTCCATTATCTCATAAAAGCGTGTGATTTATGAAAGAAACTGAAGCGAGTGTCATTAAAACTGATTACCCTAAGTGAATAGTGATGTATATGTGGGTATGCAATGTGATTATGGTGTTAGCCAGAGTAATCTAATCATCAGTGGGATAATGTGATTTTGTGGTGTTGATAAAAGACTAAAATCAGAAGCTTGGTGCTTGGTGAAATCACACCTCTGTTCTGAAATAAGCCCCAAATGATGTCCAAGAGGACATTTGTTTTTGACTCCACCCACAGATCCAGCGCCCAGGTGGACATTGCCCTCAGGCTGCCCCAGCTGCCAAGAGTCCAGTCTACTGCAGACCTTGGTGATGATTCTGAATCTCCCTCCACCCGTCGGCCCCCGCACACCACCCTGGCTTATTCAGAAACTGGGAGAGAGAAGAGAGCACACAGCAGGAAGGGGAAGGAAGGTTCTCTCAGGGAGGACCTCTACACAGATGCTCCCAGTGCCACCGTCCTCTGCGCCTGGCACCCTCCAGCCCCCCCGCGTCCCCCTTGCTCCGGGTCTTGCTACATCAATGTTCCTTCTCCTCCTTGCGTATTATCACCCTCTCACCCAGCCCTAGATCCTCCACCCCCCCAGCACTTCCCAGCCTCGAAAATGGCACCGTCCTTCCTCCCTTCTTATACCCACCACCAAACTGGGGGGACACGCACCCTGTCTCTGCCCCCTCTCCTTCCTCGCTGCCCCCCAGCTCTTAACTCCTCTGGGTCTGGGTCTCATTCTCCCATTACACTGGCCTGAATTCAAATGACACAAATTATTAACTGCCACTGCTTCTTCATTCTCCATCACATCTGACCTCTCAGAGCACTGGATGACTTCTTGAGATTCTCTCTGCACTTAGTATCCCCAATATTTCCCTCTCCTGGCCTCTGCTTATTCCCTAAGCAACCCCTTCTCCACCACCTACCGCCTACACGTGGGCAGACTGAAGACTCTAGCCTCACCTTTCCTCTCGTCTCCCTCAGAGATGTCTTCTTTTCCCACGGCTTAGATGACCACCACTCTGTGGCTGAACTCTCAAATCTAGGGCTCCGGCCTATCACACTGGCCCTGGCTCCCCACTCCCATGGGCACACAGATGAAATTCCCTCTTCGCCCTTTGCCCTCTGCCCCTGTGGCATGGTTCACTGCAGTGCTAGGCATTTTACCATGATGATCCAAAGTGAGAAGAGCCAGATAAAAGCAGGTTCATCCAGCTCCGCCACTCACTTCCTGTCTGACCTTGCTTCCTAAATAGTCTGGACCCTCAGCTGCAGCTTCAAAGAGAATAACTCATTCTTGCCTCATATGGTTGCTGTGAAAATTAAAAGCGTTCATGGAAATCACCTGGCCCATAATAATTATTCCTTCTGTTTCAGCTGTTATTATTAATGTACTCAGTAAATGTTTATTGAATAAAGGAATAAACTACAGGGATGCTTCAGGCACTGTCGTGGGAAGGTGGGAAGAGGACAGGAGGTTTGAAGACTTTTAAGCCCTCTCACCTCCTACAATATAAAGTGCAGGCATCTCCTCCAGGAGGCTAGTGCAGCCCAATGAAGATGACTAATCTTTACAAAACATTACTAGAAAGCCTATAAATAACATAATTGTCTTTCAGCTTAAGCTGTGTATCCACTTTAGCATACTGTATATAAACCCTGTTATAAGGTTATTCCAGTTTTTGTTGATTACGTAAATGGAAAACAATTACCGCAGTGAAAACTGCACAAACAGAATGTGCTATTAAAGAAGGAAATCACCGTTTGATTCTCCTGAAATTAAAGCACACTTTCCTCCCCCAACTCAGCTAGGTTATCTTCTGGGAGGTAACAGGCTTTTTCACCTAAGTAACTTTCTCACACGAATGAAACAGTCATCTCCCAAAAGGATTTTCCACCAGTGTGAGAGGGAATCTGTACTCTGAATAGCAATTTGTCTTTGCTTCATTGACTGCTCCGGTTTGTTCTTACCGAAGCCCATTTTTTAAACAAACGTTTTCTTTTGCAATAATTTTATATTTACAGAGAAGTTGCAGAGTTCCTCAACACCTGTCATCCAGTTCCCCCTAATGTTATCATCTTACATAATAAGGGTACAAAGCTAAGAAATTAGCATTCGTAAATTACTATTCATTAAACTACAGGCCTTATTCAGATATCCTTAGTTTTTCCACCTTTTTCCGCCTGCCGATGCAGGGGACGCGGGTTCGTGCCCCGGTCCGGGAAGATCCCACATGCCGCGGAGCAGCTGGGCCCGTGAGCCATGGCCGCTGAGCCCGCGCGTCCGTAGCCTTTGCTCCGCAACGGGAGAGGCCACAACGGTGAGAGGCCCGTGTACCGCAAAAGAGACATGGCCAATTTAGTCTAAAGAAGCATCAGAATTTTTTTCTTTCCTCTCCTTCTCCACAGTTAGGAGGGAGGATTCTTCTTCCAAAACCCTAGTGCTTCTATACGCATCACCCTTGTCCCTCCCATCTCTCCATGAAGAGAGAAGGCTGGAAAGCACCTAACAAATGTACTGATGGTTGCAAAAATGCCACCAAATGCACACTTTTAACACAACCAGACCCAGTACTCCATTTACCTTATTTATTCAAAGCAATTTGACAGAATTTTTTTTTCTTTTTTTTGGCTGCACCGCACGTGGGATCTTAGTTCCCAGACCAGGGATCAAACCTTCACCCCCTGCATTGGAAGCGTGGAGTCTTAATCACTGGACTGCCAGGAAAGTCCTGACAAATATTTTATAATAGATGCCTGATCCAGCCAGGTGCCTAAAACATATGCTGCCCCACCCACAGATCAAACTATTTCCTGTTGCACTGACTTGGCTATCGATCCCAGATTTTAATTATTTGAATTCTGCACCTTGGACAGGTCCCTTCATATTTCTAACGCGGATGCAATGTCTATCTGCCTGGCTTCAGATTTGGGGCCGAGGCACTGCCAATGGGCTTATTCTCATCTCTACACATAGAACAGATGGGCCTCAGTGCCTCATCTCAGGTACCAACACCAAGCCCCCAAACCCCAGCCTAGAGCAGCCTGCACCTGGAGGACCAGCTTCCTTTCCAGAACATCTAGGATGCCATTTACTATGTACAAAAACTGTTTTAGTCCCATCTGAGAATCCATTCAGCCTCTGCTTTGAAGAGTTCACAATTGAGTGAAATCAAACTATAAAGTGTATGTACAGCTCTAATCATAATACAGATAAGAGTGTATCTATTTAGTAGTTTCTCTATTGTCTTAGATTTGGCTATACAATCCTCATCTCAGTCATTACTAATGGTCAAAAGACACTTAAGTTCCTCTCTTGACTGGGCTTTTCTAGTTTTTTTTTGCTTTTTTTTGTTTTTTTGTTTTTTTGCGGTACGTGGGCCTCTCACTGCTGTGGCCTCTCCCGTTGCGGAGCACAGGCTCTGGGCGCGCAGGCCCAGTGACCATGGCTCATGGGCCCAGCTGCTCCGCGGCACGTGGGATCCTCCTGGACCGGGGCACGAACCCATGCTCCCTGCATCGGCAGGCGGACTCTCCACCACTGCGCCACCAGGGAAGCCTGCTTTTCTAGTTTTAATGATCATCTTTGAGAAAGGTAGTTACTATGCTTCACATTTCTAAAGAAGCATCACATAAGTTCTTACTTGGAAAGATCCACAGGTGGTTTCGTTTTCAATGAACACACATCCTTTTCCTTTCCTCACTTGCTTCAGTAAAGCAGTGCTGCCAATGAAACAACATTTGTAAACAGGTTGCAAAGCAACGAACAGCCAGCTCCTGGTACCCAGGTGGCCACCTAATCAGCTTTCAAGTGGAAAGCTGGAGAAAGACTTTCAATTGGACCAGGGCAAGAGCTCCAGTAGCTGCGTTATTAGACAGGAAATAGGGAAGACCTGCAAAACATGGGAAAAAACCTCGCTACAACTGTTGTTAAGGCACTTGGATCTAAGATTGGAGTGTACATGTCTTGAGTAAAAATCAGGTACACAAATGGGAATGAGTTGCTGGGAGAGAAAGGGGAAAAGAAAAAGGAGCAAACAGGTTCCAGTACCATCCTCTGAGATAAGATCCTCTGCCTGCCTTCTGGCAATAAACCATATATGTCATTAGCTGTCCTGTTAGTATCTACTTCCTTTTGGAATAGAGCAGAAACATTGCAAAGAAACACTAGCGTCAATCTAGCTCAACACCCTTACTTGACATATGAAGAAAGAAGTCCCGAGGGGTCGGGTGGCTTGGCAAAGGATCCACTCGCAGGCTAGTCAATATCAGAACTCCATCTGAGTGCGGTTCAATATCCTGACATCTAATCCAGTGCACTTTCTCTTAAAATTTGCCTCTCAAAAAAAAATCACATGGCTCTTGTAATCTATAGCATCATTAGAAAGAAATATCAATTCTAAGATTTTTTTCTTTTTAGATGTGACTCTACTGGCAGCAAATCTTTTACCTCCTGAAACTAACTAGCACTAACTTACCTTTAACTGAGACCGAATCACCAGAGAATTCATATTTGCATATGCATATTGTATATACAATGTAAATAGATTTCTGTCTTCCTCTCCTTGTTCTAGTTTAATGTTTCAGTTTGGCTGTACTTATCTATAAGCACCAGCTAGCAGGAAACACTGGACTGATGGCATATGCCATGCACTACAAGCAGTCTGGACCCATGGCAACCTAAGCCTGTGGAGGTGGCACCTAATGGTACCCAGCAGAAAGAGGCTCTAAATAAAATTCTGTTTCCCATTCATGATCGCCTCAGTAGCCACGGAAGACAGAAGCCCTCCTCGCTTACTTAGGTCACCAAATCACCTAAAGACTGTTCTGTTCTAGAAACTTCTCCACAGGAGAATGTGATCAAGGATTAGCATAAGTAGCTTGAGACAAAGGAAAAGGGAACTACTCCAAAACATAACCATCACAAGCACACGTGCTGCAAAAGTGCCAAATGTCCTTTCCTCATGCGGGCAGTTTCTACGGGTAAATAAACTCAGGGTTCATTTAATAATCCAAATCACAGAAGCCAAGATAGACCCTAAGTGAAGTGTGAGCAAAACAGCATCATGTGAACTTATCTGAGCACAGAAGCCCCAGGTAAACAATGTGTTTGTGGAAATAGGAATTCTCTGTTGAGCAGCAGCAAGAGTATAATCACGCGCCCTCACTGCCCTCATTCTTAACTCTCATACCTGCAGTCCCAGAGACCTCTGTACACACAGGAAAATGGAATTATGTCTCACTCTCTGGGAGAGCTGCATCCCCCATTCCCAAAGGCAGGGTAGGCTGGCCATTTTGAATGCTGGGTGTTTGTATGTCAGCAAGCACCTATATTCATTTCAGCTTCCTGAAGCATTTATGAACATAGGTTAGTCATATTTCAGCCACAATATGGGAGATAAGACAGCCAGGAGATCTCATAGGTAGGTAGTGAGGAATAAATAATGAAAAAGCACTTTGCAAAATATGAAGTATGATCCTAACGCTCAACAGCATAAGATACTTTACTTGACCATTAGCCTACTTTATCACAAGCTGCCTGGAAGGAAGGCGAAAGCTAGGCGTCATCAGCACAGCCTCCAGTTATGAATTGGGTCATAGAGAACAAAGTAACTTAGATTGGAGCTGTTTCATCTCAAATGAAACCAGGTCGTTAAGTTTTTCCAGAAGACACCCAGTTCTTGAGATCTTATGACCCCCATTTACCATTCAAAAATAAACTTTGTAATGAGGTAAAAGCTGATTTAATCCATTCAGTTAATCTGGAAAAACACCACTAACAATGTATTGATTTTTTTTTTCTAAGAAGGCAACTTATTACCTATACTCGAGCCTAGGATGGTCTAATAAAGAGGCAGAACACAGAGGTAGAATTTTAAATAGGGCCCTATACCTGCAATTCATTTTCCAATACTGAAGCCCAGGAACTAACACCATTTTGAAACACTGATATATAACAGATAACTGAGACTAAACTATGTATATGAGGCTGACACCATGGAAAAACTGAATAAACAAAAACTGGCACAGGCCTGGACCAAACCTCGCAA